TATCTCAGAGTTTCATTCATAAGAGTTTGCCGTGTGCAAAAGCTATTAAACCATTGGTCAGGGAAAGCTTTTATTAATTATTCATGTGCCAAAGTTGAAAGTTTAAAATAAGTCGACCCTAAACAGTATTTTAGTGATAGGGAATGCGTTGCCTTATATAAACTATATAGTCATTGCGCATGACGCGATCAGTGGATTGAGGTCACAGAATGTGGAGATGCAGTCCATGTTAAAAAATGACAAACCAAGTCGTACTTTAAAAATTCATAACTTTAAAACTACAACAGCTAAAAATATGATTTTGGTGTTATAATTCTGTTTAAAATTAGCTCTATTCAACTGTGCCATTGATTTATTTTTAAAAAATGTTTACATTTTTGACCAAAGTATCTACTTTGCTATTAATAAAGAAGATGAAACATTTTGTCTTTTCATAATAGTTAACTTGATAGAGTCCCAAGAATGAGAGTTTACAAAAGCATTGACTTACTTGAACAAATGTAGGCTGTAAACCAGCTGAACACATGCACGCCAACACAATAACTCCAAACAGTGATTGACTGCTAACGAAGAGATCAGTTAAAAGGACTGGCTTCGTGTGTCAATAATTAACACGCAACGGAATTGGGTTGGGGGGGGGGTAAAAAGTAAAGAAGTGGGGAGGGAAAGATGGTTGAATTTTTTTAAAATCCGTTTCCTTTTTTTATTTTCAATCTAATAGGAAAAATTTTAACCAATGAAATTTTAGATAATCCAATGTCAACAGCGATCCAGTACCTAATATTTAACAATGAACAATGTTCAGAGAATTAGAGATACTTTTCAGAGTCACGCCCGAGTGAAGCGTGAAGCGAGGAAAACACAGTGGCCAGCCAGTGGGTCAGCTTGCTAACCGGGAGGCAAGACTTTACGGAGACACCACTCAGGCAGGTAAATGTTTATGTTTTCAGTTCACACAATACACCGAGTCGGCACAGGCAGAGGCGTAGCTAGAGTGTTTGGCGCCGGGAAATATTCATTTTAAGGGGGGACCGGTAGTCAACAGGGCTACCACACCTTGGAAAATTTCCCAAGATCTTGGGAATTCACGACCCCCCTCTGGGATCTGGGGAATAATTTTTGAAAATCGGGCAAAATCTTGGGAAATCTTAACTGGGGTGAAAATTTTATTATATTTTCGAAAAAACGCAACAATATGTGATACAAAATATAGTGAAAATAAAGCAAAATAATTTTTTGTTTTAATTTTCTTCTCTGGTTTTAATTTTTAAATCCACTCATCAAATAAATAAAAACTCTTCTGATATTAAAGTTAATATTATTGTGAATTGTTAAAAAGTTAATAATTAAAGAAAAATTCAATTTTCTCTTCTTTTTTAAAAAAAATTGAAGATTTACAAATTACATCCAGGTTTTGAATGTTTATTAAATGGGGAGGGCGGGGTAGGCTCGGAAACGTTATCATTAGGCTGTTAGACATTAGCAACCATATGAAAAACAGTACAAGCCGCAGAGTGAACAATAGTCTTCAATCAAGAATCCATGCCATAGGCCATAGTAAAATTTGATTATTTCAATTACTTCTACAATGTGTTCAAAATATAATGCATCTGTAAAAAATCCAGCCTAATTTTCATCAATTGGAAAAACTATTTGTGGATTGAAGCACGGTAACTAAGATATTAAAAGTATAGGCCCACGTTGTAGGATTATAAATGAACAATACCTTTAAAAGTATTTTTTTTTTTTTTGTAGAAAAAATCGTTATAATTCAAATTTACAAGAAAAAAAAAATACTTAATTTGTTCATAATAATATCAATCCATTTTAACTACAATTATTATTAATAACTTTTGCTTCATTGCTTTGAAAACCCCACTTCTATTCGACAGACTTACAATAACAAAAATCATTTTTTGATGAAGAACCTTTTGCCCCTGTAAAAGGAATTCTGTGTTGATTAGCCTTGTAAGCTTTGTTTCCAAGTGACTTCTATTACACATGTATTGTAGATAATATTTTTACCAGAGAATTTGGAGATAATATTTAGTAGCCTCCTGTGGGTATTGATATTTTGGATTATTAAATTATTTTAAAAAAAAAACAAATTGTTTCTTTTATGTGATAAACATTTTTTTAAATGTCTTTTTCAATAAATTTCAGTCAATTAATGTACCATGTTTTCAGGGGCATTAATTCAATCTGTTTTTACATTAATTACATAGAAAAAACCCTTTTTTTAAAAACTCTTATATAATTATATGATCTTGGGAAATCTTGGGAAATTTTTAAAAAAGTGTGTGGCAGCCCTGGTAGTCAACTTTACGTAAAAATCATGTATTTTTGAATTATCATTTGAAAATTTCATTGTTTTTTGTTGCTTTTTAAAATCGTCCATTACCATGCATTTCTGAATTTTAGGGTTAAGGTTAGGGTTTATTGTTAGGTTTTGGGTTAGGGTTAGGTTTAGGGTTAGGTTTAGGGTCAGGGTTAGGTTTAGGGTTAGGTTTAGGGTTAGGGTTAGGTTTAGGGTTAGGTTTAGGGTTAGGTTTAGGGTTATGTTTAGGGTTAGGGTTAGGTTTAGGGTCAGGGTTAGGTTTAGGGTTAGGGTTAGGTTTAGGGTCAGGGTTAGGTTTAGGGTTAGGTTTAGGGTTAGGTTTAGGGTCAGGGTTAGGTTTAGGGTTAGGGTCAGGGTTAGGGTTAGGGTTAGGTTTAGGTTTAGGGTCAGGTTTAGGGTCAGGGTTAGGTTTAGGGTTAGGGTTAGGTTTAGGGATATGGTTAGGTTTAGGGTTTAGGGTTTAGGATCCAGGTTAGGGATTTGCGCCATCAAATTTTTGCTCATTTTTCAAAAATTTCAAAAAAAAAAAAAAAATTCAAATTTTACTCATTTTTTACAAATTTTTTTAAAAATCATTTTTCTTAAATTTCAAAATTTAATAGTTTTTTTACAAATTTTTTAAAATTACAAAACCAAATTTTTCGTTGATTTTTTTATTTTTTTCCGAAAAATTTTTTTTCTTCCATTTCTTTACATTTTACATTTTCTTTAAAATATTTTTCACAGATTACTATATATTTGTGTGTTTTCCTATCTTGAAAATTAAATTTTCTTGTAATATTGCTTATTTTCGATCTTTCGGTAAGTTTTTTGATAAAACGCATTCTCCCCAACCGTTCCCTTTTTGTACAATACGTGTCTTTGCACTACTTTTTTTTTTGGGTCGGCCGCCATCTTGGTTGACATGATCCGTGACCTTCTCACTGATCATGTCAACAAAGATGGCGGCCATGCTTGGGAAACCCCGGGTACCACTCTCATCATTTACCAAGACTACTAGATGTTGAAATCTGTATAAATACGAATTCTAAAAATCTAGAATTTCAGGATTCTTGCAGTGAAATCAGTCTCTGGATATTTTATATACTGAGTATTATACATCCTGAAATAAATCTTAATTTTTTACTTATTTAGTTTGCATAAATGCATTGTCTACACACTTAAAAAGGAATGATAAATATTGTCAATGGTGATTTTTATTTGTTTCATTATAGCTTTAAATAAGTTTGAAACAACATAGAAAAAAAAGATGAAAGGTCGTTTCAGCAGCATTGATATAGCAGTTATAACTCATGAATTAAAACGGTGAGTAAAATTGTATTTTTAAAAACATACTATTTTAAACTATCTTGTCTGGGATTAAAACTTTTTTTTTAAATTTAAGGCTGAGGAGAGGGGTGCTGGTGTTGGAACTTGACTTCATCCATTAAACCTGTTAACAGAAGAAAAGAAAGAACAAAGATACAGCGAAATATTTTTAATTTAAAAGTATATTTCATAACATAAAACTGTAAAAATGGACGGTTCTAGCCTTTTTGTGTATCTTCTGGATTTCTCTTCTTCATCTGGATTCGATGAAGTCACAAGGGCCACTTGTCTCTCACCTTTCACAAGCAGTGAAAATCGGCATTAAAACTAATAAATATACAGTCAATACATATATATATATTTAAAAAATTCCTTTAAAAAAAAATTCAGGTCTCTCTTTGTGCTTGCATAAATGACCATTGGGCCTTAATATGGAATCAAAATAGATTTGATTGTTATAATTGCCCAAATCAATTAACGAATGCTTTTATAAATATTCTGAATATGTCTTTAATATTCTCAGATTTATTGGAATGCGTGTGGTAAATGTTTATGACATTGACAACAAAACATATCTGATCAGATTGGGAAAGTAAGTAAAATTAATTATTTCTAGCAAAACATTCACTCCCTTAAATATCAGGGCTATTCTTTCTCTGTGCCTTATTAGCTTGCTACTACAAATTAATAACAATGTGATGCTTTGAGGAGGCAGTTTAGTGAGGCTTACCAAATTACCAAATGAGAGTTACTACACTGAAAGCTTTTTTTTTTTTCCTTTTCACTTCATCCTGCTAGGAGTGTCATAGAATGTTTCAGCACTTCAGCCTTCAAAGCATTAATGGAAATATATAAAATAATTGAATGGCATTAAATATTTAAAAAAAAAGTGTTTTAACAAATTGCATATGAAAACCCTAGTGCTAAAAATACTTAAGTCACATTTTTTTCAAAATCAATCTTAAACTGTGAACTTTTCTTATCCGGTTTAGCCAAGTGTACTGCAGAAATTTGAACACATTAAAACGTACCTAAGTCCCTTAATTAAACAAGATAAAATGTAAAAATTATCACCTTTTATGGAAGAAAAGAATATTTGAACTTGAAACTCTCAAATATGTATTTTGTGACCAAGGTACTTTTAAGGTACCTACTAAGGTCTTCAATTGCATTAACTCTGAAAACAATGAACTTGTTGGAATAGTTAAATTTGAAAGTTACTTTTGGGAGTAAGATGTATACCAAATTTTAGTTCTGCATCATCCCACAAACCAGAAATATTTGATCATAAAAAGGGATTTTACAAAGTACAGGGTTTTTGAGAGATGAAAATTAAGTTGAAACTGAATATCAAGTTTAGTTTTATTATGGGATTCAATTCTGAGATTTTTCTATACTCAACATCTGTATCTAAGTTTCATAGCCATTAACCAACTCACTCTTCTTTTTTTTTTTTTCAGACCTGATGAAAAATCTGTTATACTTTTAGAGTCTGGAATTCGCCTGCACAGTACTGATTTTGACTGGCCAAAAAATCCTGCTCCTTCAGGATTTTCTATGAAGGTGTCTAAACATTCTGATCATTAGACAAATTATAATTTGTCTTTTTCAATCTGTTTTAAAAAAAATTATGCTAAAGGAACATATGAGTATTAGAACGCAAAATAAGTATCAAGATTATCAATTATTAATGTTCTGACTTGTAATTTTAAACAAACAGTATGTTTTATCACCAGTATAAACTCAAACAAATTTTTTAAATGTCCCTATTGCTCACCACTTGAAAATTAAATGAACATGTTTTGTATTACAGTATTTTTTTTATCATATATTTCCATGATGCAGCATTAAAAAAAATTTCATTAAGATTTGTATTATAGTTATAATTTTGTGAAATCCTTTGTAGCTTAGAAAACACCTAAAAGGAAGACGTCTTGAAAATATTAGTCAGTTGGGAATAGACAGAATTGTGGACCTGCAGTTTGGCTCAAGTGAAGCAGCTTACCATGTAATTTTGGAACTCTATGATAGGGTAAGGTAAACCCAGCACTCATAAGAACCCAAAAAATATTGTTAAAATTGTGTTGCTTTAATTAAACTTTGTTTTACTTGAAAATTACCTCTAAGTTAAAATTTCTGAGTAAACTGTCAACCATAAACTCCTTTGAAAGATTTAAAAATTAAAGGTATTTAATTGTTGAATCCTTGAATTTTTTCCAAATCTGTAATTGCTCTCAAGTCTAAAATATAAGAATCTTACTTCAGCAGTACAACAGTATTGAAAAATTACTCAGAAATATTTTCCATTGATTTTATTATATGTTCACACTGGGTTGTGAATTACTTTTCACAGCTCTACAATTTTTTTCATTCTCATCATAAGGGATAAACCTCTTGCTTCGCACAGTGTTCGATAAAAAATAATGTCATTCCTCATAACAGCCGAAATGAATCACAAACCCAATTACCATATCCCATAACAACCATCAGACACAGCTCATAAGAAAGATTGTGATATTACAAAATTACTCCTAGTAAGGTCTAACACATGATGGTCTTAGGGTAATTGAATTAAAAGCCCCTTTTTGTTTGTAATCTTGTACTTAGCCCAGTAAAGAGCTGCATAGCTTCTGTTCAATTATATTTATAATTGGCAAATACTTTTGTTGCTTCTATCAGGGGAATATGATACTAACAGATCATGAATTTACCATTCTCACATTGCTGAGAACAAGAGAAGATTCCAGCCAAGATGTCAAGTTCGCCGTCAGAGAAATCTATCCAATGAATATTGGCAGACAGCATGTAGTTCTTTCCAGAGAGAGGTAATATCGGTATCACTTTTTAGGTCATAGTTTATATATGTGTAAATTACATGCATTTGTTTGTATTTTTGTGGGATTTAGATATTGTAATTTAAATTCAGGTTGTTTTTATATAAAGCTGGCTAACATTATTGTATGAACTTAAAAGTAAAAATGTACTTAAGATTGAAAAAAAAAAAAAAGCCAATATTAAGAATTAATGAGGTAATCTTCTTGCAGAGCATTGCTTTCAAGTTATGTTATATCATACTTTACATGAAAGGAAACAGGTTAATTATTTATAGCATAATCAAAGAAGTTTTTAATTTTTTATTTAGGGAAATAAAAAAAACAAAATGGCTTTTAATTTTAAGGTAGTTCTGCATTAGCTAATAAGTAAATAAATAGCTTAATTCCCAAAATCTTGTTTAATTATATCTGTGAAAAGTGGAAAACCTTTTAAAAATGTGTGATCTATTAGTGAAGTGGCTATTTTAAAAAAAAGTAAATAATTAAAAGGTTAAAAGTTCTTGTCCCGTCATCTTAGAAATGAAATGTGACTTTTTCTTTCCAGACAAATTTTTAATAATGCAAATTAAAAGAAGAAAACTATCATTAACGAATGTCTGCATAGCTGTGTTTTTGAAAACCTTCTCACTGATTTGATTACTTAGTAAACACTGGGTTCAAGCCATGTGAATTTTTTTTCCCATTTTTCTTCTCCAGAATAAAGGAATTGATGCTGAGTGGTAAAGATGGGGATGTCCTAAAAAAGATTTTATTACCAAATGTGGGTAAGTTCTTTAATTGTCTTAGTGTCTTAATTAGTAGTCAACTTTTTTTTTTTTTTTTATTTTTTACCTCAGACACTATTTTTTTCTCTTTTGTGTAAAATGATTTTATTTTCTCTTTCTCCCAACCCCCCCCCCCCCCCCCCCCCCTTTTTTTTTTTTTTTTTTTTTTTTTCTTTATCTATTTTTTTTTTCTTTTTTTTTAAAAATTATTTTTTTTTTCTTTTCCTCCTCCCCCCCCCCCCCCAACCCCGTACTTTTGAAAGAGAAATTTTAATTTGATAAATTTAATCATTAAAACTACCTAAGACTTCTTGAACTAACAGACAATGCTAAGAGCTGACATTTCCATATTGCAGAGAATTCATACCTAAAGGATATAATAATAAATTGTTTTAACTGCAGGATGTCTTGAATCAAAGTTGAAAATTGGGGTCCTTATATGCAACGCTGGTTTTAATATCAACACAAACTTATACAGTTGGATAAATTTATATGTTCTTGTTATAAATTGACTCTGGATTTTAATTCTACATTTTCTCACAGACTTTGGCCCAGCAATAATCGATCATGTTTTACTCGGAGCTGGATTCTCAGAGAATGTTAAAATCGGCAAAAACTTTAGCCTAGAAAATGGTGTGGTACCTTTATAACATCTTGAAATGATTGTGTATGATTACCTATTATTTTAAGCTAATTCATAAGCTCCATATGGGGTAATAAAAAACAACAGTTGATACCTGCTTTATTGTAGTGCCATTTAATATTAAAGATTTTGAAAAAAATTTTTTTAACCAATTATAATAATAAAAGACATATTTGCATCAAATTTTTTTAAAGAGATTTAAATTTTAAATATTTCAAATTTTTTTTATAACATGAATAAAAATGTGTGTTTTGAGTATGGGTATTCTCACTAGTAATTGTTGCTCACCTAATATTGTGTTTTATTGCGCCGGCGTGTCTTGTTTAGTAGTTAAGTTAATGAATTCTTTTCCTACCTTTAGACATATAATAGTAATTGTGATGTTTTATCTATAATAGATGCATTTTTCGTAGAGCAGTTGATGAGAGAACTTTTCGGTGAAAAGCTCTACAATACTCTTCTTATTAAATTATTAGATTAAAGTTTACATTGCTAATGGAAAAGGACTTGTGATCAGTTCAGCGTGATAACAACTGTTGAACGTGTACAAATCATTGACAGTGTGCTCCTCAAATGTCTTATAAGTTGTTGCTTCTTAAATATGTTTAATTCACATTGATGCATCAGTCATGTTTAGATGTACCGGGTATCACTTTTATTTAAATGTATCACTCAGATGTATCACTCATATTTAGATCTTTTGCTCATATTTAGATTTAGACAAGCTGATGGATGCTCTACATGAAGCAGAGAATTTGTTGGTGGATTTTACGACAAAACCTTGTAAGGTAAGACACAGCAACTTGTAAGATGCTGATCCTTTTTAAAATATTTATATATTTACATATATCCTGAACGTGTAAAGGATACAAAGAAATGTCTTTCTCAGCAGCTATGTCCCTTTGGACAATTCAAAGTTGTGAGAGCAACTGGTCCTAGTTTGATGCCAATGAAATATATTCAACCATTGTAAAAGCACAATTTTTAAAATAATTTTGTTTTGATCGGAAAATTTAAGTCATTATCATAAATCTTGTAAGGTTTTGTTTAATTTTGAAATTTGTAGCAAGACCATAATGCACCAGTCATATAAATTAATTCAATTTAATTGTAAACATAATTTCTTTTAATATCTTCTTTAATTTAAACATGGTCCCTAAAAGTATTTACATTTTTAAAAACACTAATGGCAATTTAAATTGATAATGGCACGAAAGACTGAATAAATATAACAGAAATAATTACATATTATACAATTTGGTTTCAGGGTTATATTGTACAGAAAAAGGACAAAAAGCCTAATCCTGCTCCTGGAGAGGAGGTAGACATTTTATTGTGAGTAAGATAGAGATTGTTTTAAGATTTTATGCAAATAGAAAATTGTGAGTACTACTATATTTTGTCTCACTGCTGTGTTTCCAAAAGATCCTAGGAATGTATAGATTGAAATAAACTTGATTGTGGTCTCGAGTATTTGAATAAAATTTGTGTGTGGAAAGACTCTTTTAAATAAAAATTTTGTCAGGACTAGACTCCCCCCACCCCCTCCCCCCACACCTTTTTTTATTTAATTGTAGTTGAATTTCATCAATATGTCATAGAATTTCTATTGATAAGGTTGCCAGAAAATTGGAAAACAAACATCTGTTAATAAATATTAGAGCTATTGATGCAAATATTTACATTTTAGGCACATTCTATCATTATGATGTTGGAAGAATAATTTATTGATTTGTCTCCAGCTGTGCTCTCTTGCTTTAATGTAACTGAACAAAATAAAAGCATACATTATGTTCAGTAAGTTTTGCATACTTCTTTTATAACTAGAATAAAAAAACAAATCGCTTTTCATTACCTGTAGTGACTGGCCAAAAGGTTTTTGATCCTCATCATCCTGTTCATTTCATGTACCTTTGTGTTATCAAAACCTTTCCTAAACATCCCAGTCCTCAGAATTTGAAGTTTGCAAGCTCTTTTTTACTTTTGAACTTGTTTACACTTAGAATTGGAGTTGTGTGTTGTTGTTTTTTGGGTCTCATGGTGGGCATAGCATTAGTCAATGTTCATGCAAATATCTTAACGGCAGTTGCCATCAAAGTCTAAAAAAAAATTTTTTTTTGATAGGTAAGTCCTAAATAAATGGCTCCCCTTTTTTTAATGATGGCACAGTGGAAAAAATAATCCACAACTTATGTGCCTTACTGATAATTATATTATTGTCTTTCTTGTTGACAGATATGAAGAATTTCATCCGTATCTGTTCCACCAGCATGAAAAGAAGCCCTTCATTGAGTTTGATCAGTTTGATAAGGTGAGCATTTTATAACAGTTTTGTTATCATTTTCAAGACTAAATAGTTATTTAAATCATAATGCAAGGGACTCTATTTAGTATTTACTAAAATTATCTTGCCTCAAACTTTACTGAAGGAGATGTTAAACATCAATGTCCTTAAGCACAGAAAGTCTGGAACATGATATCCCTTGCACGTTTTATTCTAGCTGATGTGAAAATTTTTATCCCACAGAGTCGTATGTTTAGTATGTTATGTCCAACACTCTCATAACTAGAGCTTCAAAGTGCATTGGGTTTTAGTTTATTTATTTGTTTAAAGGACTGTTAAACTTAATTGAGCTTTTAATGGCCTTAAATATATATAAAATATCAACATGCCACAATTATGTCTAATCTTTTGTAGGCTGTTGATGAATTTTTCTCTAAGCTTGAGAGTCAACGTGTTGAGGTTAAAGTTCTTCAGCAAGTGAGTTTTTAAAAAAAATCTTAATCAGTGTTTTTTGGTTATTGTTGTTTTTTTTTTTGACATTATTTATGAATTTGTTCTTTAAAAAAAAATGAAACTAAACATTTAGTTGATTTAGGATTAAAACAAAATATTGTTAACTTTTTGGGGGGAAAAAAAATATTTTTGCTTGTGATGGTTTTAAAAGTAAATGTTCAGTTCATAGTGTTAAATAAATAGAGTTTTTATGTATATATATATAATGTTGTTTTTTTTTATAATAACCTTTTGCCACAATTTGTTGAATTTCAATTAAGTAATACATATTTTCTTTCCTAGGAAAAGTCAGCAATGAAAAAACTAGAACATGTGAAAAAAGACCATGAAAAAAGGCTTGAAGGCTTACAGAAAGAACAGGTGATATTGCTTGACATGTGAATATAAAACAAAATGTTAGACAAACCAGGGTTTGAGTAAAGTGGTTCATCTTTTAAAACAAAATAATTTAATGAGCCGGAAAGCTTAAAGAAAATCTAAGGACTCTACAGTAATAATAATAAGGAACACTTAAGTGAAAAGCCAGCTGGATATATATATACATTATGTCAGCCCATTTAATGTCATTCTCTGAGTTAGAACCAAAGAACATTGAGATAATTTTTGCTATCCTCTGATTTATAAACAAATAACATTGAGATAATTACTCCCATCTTCTGATTTAGAAACAAAGAACATTGAGATAATTACTGCTATCCTCAAGGCTAACTTTCATATTGTCTTTGGGAAAGTTTGTGGAAAGAATCATGCAATTTTTTGTGGAATAAGGGGCTAAGAAAATAGGCATTTAAGATCTAAATTTGAAAATAGGAATAATATACAGATTTGAGAAGAGATTAAGATGAGACTTGCTAACTTGCTATAAATAAATAGGATTAAAAGGAGGAAGTAGCTCATGGCAATGCTGCAATTGTTATACCGGCACTTGTTTACTCTTAACAGGAAACTGATTTTTTGAAAGGTCAACTTATTGAAAATAATCTTCATCTGGTAAGTCAAGCATTACATCAATATGAATTTTTTCCGCATCACTTTATACAACATTGTTAAATTGAATGTAGTTAATTTTTACCCATGTGTGCTATAACAATGATAATTAAAGTGAGATTATGTATAGGTCTTAAGTTAACTCTTTGACTCCCGGGGGTATTTCCAAGGCTTTACCAAACACTTTCAGACAAAGGGCAAATCTAAATCCTGACAGTGTTATAAGATAGGTCCCAAGTGTTGTCTATTAAAAATTAATGGAATGTACTTTTCTATGACATGACTCCATATAAATTCGGACCATAGACAAATAAAGTTTTTGTTGACAGATGAAAATATATATGAAAAAATTAATTCACAAATGTCAAATTACTGCAAGTTTATTTCAGAATTGTGTCATTCGAATGACAAAAATATTGTTTATTCAGTTAACAATAAATCTTCAAATTTTTTTCAAGTTTGATTTTTTTTTTTTTAAACTTCACACATTTTATCAAAACATACAGGGGGAAAAAATTCAGAGTAAATCTTCAATAAATGCCATTGCCATCAAATCATATGCTCATTTTCTGAGTCTAATTCTAGACCTGAAGTGTTATACATCACTTGAAAGGGAATTTAATAATATTCTGGTTCTGGTTGTGTTTGTTGCTGCATCCATGTACTGGCATCTGTAAGTCTTCGATTTTACATTAAGCATCCAAATATGGCTGAAAAATGTTTATTTTTGTGATTTTAAAAAAATTGAGGTGCATTTTTTCAAATGTTTTGAGAAAAACTTGAAGTGTTCATTACTAGCGTCCAAATTAAATGAATGTTGTTCATCTGGCAAGGTTCTCTTCTGCAGGTAGATCAAGCCATCCTCATAGTCAGAAGTGCACTGGCCAATCAAATTGACTGGTCTGAAATTTGGAACGTCGTCAAGGAGGCCCAGGCCAATGGAGACGCGGTGGCATCCACCATCAAAGCCCTGAGGCTGGACTCGAATCAGATCACATTACTTCTACAGTGGGTAGAGCCTTTCCTTTTTAGTTATGATATATTGCAGCAGGCCTTATTGAATTCTCCACGTAATACAGGGTTCAGTGACTTTTCTTTAAGTTAACAGTAAACTCTTGCTTAAAGTATTTTGGAGCAATGTCACACAAATCTTTTCCAGAAATTTCTCCTATTTATTTAAGTATGCAGAACTAGGGTGGTTGTGATACAAAGCAAGTGTAGTTGTGATGAGTGATTGATGTAATTCCATCATTTGATGAATGCAAGATTTTTAATTTTAAAAAAAATTCTTCACATCTCAGAACCATTTTTTTTTCTTCATTATATGTGTTAGTATTACAACTTTATAAAACATCAATTGAGTTTTAAAGGACACATGAACCAGAAGCAAAGTTATATTGCCTGGAAAAATTGATTTTTTTTTCCCGGCAGAACAAAAATGAACAAGAGATTAGAGCATGAATAAAGTAGTGGGAATGCAATATTTAATTGTAAAAAAAAACAAAAAAACGCCAATCTAATAAATTAGATAAAGTCTCTACAAACAGGTAAATTTACATCATAAACATTTAGTCTCAAATTTAGAATGAAATCACTGTAAATCAAAATACCTTAATTGTGCTGCAGTCTTGTAGAGCAGCTACCGGCATCCACTGTGGAGAGGATTTGTATTTTATTTGCAACATGCTTGTGGGTTGTACGTCTCAAACAGGCGTGTGGGTTGTATGTCTTAAACACGCATGTGGGTTGCACATACAAACAGGCATGTGGATGAAAAGGGACGCACTTAGAACACTTTGCCCAGCTGAGTTTTTGGTGAAGATAAATCTTGATCTAATATATTTGTTTGTATATCATCTGTCCTAAGGAATCCGTATGTCGCCACAGAAACTGAGAAACAGAAACCAATGAGGGTAGATATTGACTTGAGCCTGAGTGCTTACGGCAACTCTAGAAAGTAAGTACCTGAGAACCTGAGGCTATTTCTTCACAGGTTTTAACTCTTTCAAAAATTTAGTTATTCAATATTACCTCGAACATTAGTTCCAGAACCCATCGTGGATCAGGAGGAATCGCTCATGTTTGGTACAAGTCAGTAAAAATGTTTATTCTCCCCCCCCCCCCCCCCCCTTTTTTTTAAAAAAATTTTTTTTTCTTTTTTGGTACAAGTCAGTAAAAATTTTTATTCTCCCCCCCCCCCCCCTTTTCATTAACAAAAATTTTGTTGCCGATTTTACTCATAAAAGCATGAAAACTTATAAATTACTTAAAAAATTGAACATAAATACGTCTGCTGGGTTTTTTCAGGTATTCTCGGCTCTGTAAATAAAATCGTGAATGCAAATTAGTTAGGTTTCAATGAAAATTTGATGAGGCCGTGAATTTGCAAATCCCTAAATGCAAATGCACAAGGCATTACTGTACTAAAGTTCTTTAGCGGTACTGGACTCCTAAAATCAGAAGAACTCTCATGTGCTGAACTAATTTAATAAATAAGTTCCATTCTGACTTGCGAAAGCCACTGTAAAATTACAAGCAATCTCCCAATCTCCATGTCTTTCGTCTGTTTTTCTAGATACTTTGACAAAAAAAGACAAGCCGCCAAGAAAGAGCAGAAAACAATGGAAGCATCTAGTAAAGTGAGTTTAAACAGCTGTTGAGATAAACCAGTGCTATTCATTTTTTTTTTAAAGGATACATGGCTGTGCACCGTGGCACAAAGGATAATTTTATTACTGAACAAATGCTTTCTTGCAGAGAGCAAATTTTAGCCGTTTTGGTTTGAGCCTGCGTTACATGCTGTTGTGACGTTCTACAAATTCATTCAAATAAATGTCTGTGCTTTCTACTTAAAACATGCAGGCTTTCGTTACATGCTGTTGTGATGTTCTACAAATTCATTCAAATAAATGTCTGTGCTTTCTACTTAAAACATGCAGGCTTTCGTTACATGCTGTTGTGACGTTCTACAAATTCATTCAAATAAATGTCTGTGCTTTCTACTTAAAACATGCAGGCTTTCGTTACATGCTGTTGTGACGTTCTACAAATTCATTCAAATAAATGTCTGTGCTTTCTACTTAAAACATGCAGGCTTTCGTTACATGCTGTTGTGACGTTCTACAAATTCATTCAAATAAATGTCTGTGCTTTCTACTTAAAACATGCAGGCTTTCGTTACATGCTGTTGTGACGTTCTACAAATTCATTCAAATAAATGTCTGTGCTTTCTACTTAAAACATGCAGGCTTTCAAATCAGCGGAGAAGAAAACAAAACAAACTTTAAAAGACGTGGCAACGGCAGCAAGCATTAGCAAAACTAGGAAAACATACTGGTGCGTACATCAAATGGTTTATGCTGTGTACAATTGTACATACTGGTGTGCAAATAGTATTCTAGAGATAAGCCTGACTTGCCCAAATTTTATAAAAAAAATATTAGTTACATGTGTTACATGTATTATATGTGGTTTATGTGTTATAAGAATAATATGTGTTATATGAGTTACATGTGTTATATGTGCTATAGGCTTTATCTATATAATATGTCAGTCAAAAGAGTTTTTTTTAAAGTCTGATATCTAAAGTCCTCTGGAATTATTTGCCTATTTGGCTGTTTAATTTTGCTACAATTACTTTCATTTGTCAGGTTTGAGAAGTTCTTGTGGTTCATAAGTTCTGAAAATTATCTGGTCATTGGAGGACGTGACCAACAGCAGAATGAACTTATCGTCAAGAGATACATGAATTCAGGTTTGTGCATAGTTTTTGTCAATGGACTGTGTTAAAGTCAAACTTCTGTTGTTGCTCAGTGAGCCTTTCATGTCACTGGACCGTGTTTATGTTACTGGACTGTGCTAATGTTACTGGACCGTGCTAATGTTACTGGACTGTGCTAATTTTACTGGACTGTGCTAATGTTACTGGACCGTGCTAATGTTACTGGACCGTGCTAATGTTACTGGACCGTGCTAATGTTACTGGACCGTGCTAATGTTACTGGACCGTGCTAATGTTACTGCTAATGTTACTGGACTGTGCTAATGTTACTTGACCGTGGTAATGTTACTGGACCGTGTTAATGTTACTGGACCGTGCTAATGTTACTGGACCGTGGTAATGTCTGGACCGTGTTTATGTTACTGGACTGTGCTAATGTTACTGGAGCGTGCTAATGTTACTGGACTGTGCTAATTGTACTGGACTGTGCTAATGTTACTGGACCGTGCTAATGTTACTGGACTGTGCTAATGTTACTGGACCGTGCTAATGTTACTGGACCGTGCTAATGTTACTGGACCGTGCTAATGTTACTGCTAATGTTACTGGACTGTGCTAATGTTACTGGACCGTGTTAATGTTACTGGACCGTGTTAATGTTACTGGACCGTGCTAATGTTACTGGACCGTGTTAATGTTACTGGACTGTGCTAATGTTACAGGACCGTATTAATGTTACTGGACTGTGCTAATGTTACTGGACCGTGTTAATGTTACTGGACTGTGCTAATGTTACTGGGCCATGCTAATGTTACTGGGCCATGCTAATGTTACTGGACCGTGTTAATGTCACTGGACCGTGTTAATGTCACTGGACTGTGTTGATGTCTTAAAAACATTGTATCACATGGATCAGAGCCGTTCTTAGGAGTTTGGGGGCCCTAAGCATGGAGCATAGGTTGGGGGCCCCGGAAGGGGCGTCCGGAGTGGAGCTTCCTCGAGCTGAGGAGAAAACACCACCCACCACTGCGGCACCTCCATTCTGCCGATTTCCAGTCTGCCACCCCCAAAGCTCCCCCCTGCTGCCTCCCTTCCCCTGCCTCCGAATTCAACTCAGAATGATAAATTTCAGGATGAGGAAGGTAACGTGAGTGACACAGACGGCTGCAGTGCCAGTTAAAAAAAAAAGACCGGTGGATCGAGGGCGCCTCACGGGGGCCCCCTCACGTTCGGGGCCCTATGCGGATGCGTAGTCAGTGTATGTCTAAGAACGGGCCTGCATGGACCATAAAATTAAAAAAACAGTAGTTATGTAAAAAAAATTAGAATTTCTGGTGGCACTTGTCAGTGTCCCCAGGAATATATTTTAAAAAAGCTTCTTAAGTCAGGGTCCTGGGCGAATTCCTGTCACCACCTTTTAGGAAATATTGGAGGGGGGTTTGGGGGACACATTGAGGTTGTGTCAACCTTTTCATGTAGCAGTTTTACAAATGCTTGACCTAAATCCTTTATTATGAAGCATGTATTTGATCTAATTGCCAGGAGATTTGTATGTGCATGCTGATCTCCATGGAGCCAGCAGCTGTGTCATCAAAAATCCAAGAGGTTGGTTCCATTTCACTAAGTCACCACATGGTTAATTACTGACTTAAGGCATACGCCATTATTTGTGTTCCATCTGAATGGTAAGTCTAACATAGTTAACTGTGGGATCAGCTTGTTGACATTCAATTATACCCATCTAGTGGTAGTTATGAGACAAATGCTATGGTCACCATCGTTCGTGTAGTCAAAATACTACAGAGCCACCATTAACTGCACCAGGTTTGTTTAAAAACTATTGATTCAACTGTTCTTGTGATGCACACGCCATGTCTAAAAGTCAAGTTTCTCATAATAAGAGAAGTGAGAAAAACCAAACCAATGCAGTGGTCCGGGAGCTTCCCGTGTCCCAAACTATTTAATAATATACAATTTTTAAAAAACGACAGTAAACTTCTTTTCTGCTAATATAATATTATTTATCAGAATAAATAACATTGGTGTGGTCAACTGTGTGGTCAACTGTGTGGTCAACTGGATGCTCATTTTTATGTACACAATTTTATTTCTCAATGCTTTCAATTAGGTGGCCCCGTCCCACCCAAGACATTGAATGAAGCCGGCACAATGGCCATCTGTAACAGCGCAGCCTGGGAGTCCAAGGTGGTGACGTCTGCCTGGTGGGTCTACCCTCATCAGGTTTCCAAGACCGCACCCAGTGGAGAGTATTTAACTACAGGGAGCTTCATGATCAGAGGTCAGGCACGATTGTAGCGTAAAGATCAATTTAAATTTGAGTCCTCAGTGGTGACTTGGTCACCGGCAGTCATGGCAAATTTCATTGATGCAAAGCTAACGGAAGAGCTGTGATGCTCATGTTCATTCAACCAGGGCCTTTTACATTTATAGGAGAGAATTTTTGCAACAATGAATATTGTTCTTTCGGAACATTATTTTTGTGTTTTGTTTGAGGCTCTTGACGATTGTTTGTGCCAGCCGACCAGGTTTAACTACCCTTTCTGTGGCTTCTTGCCTTAGCTGTTCATTTCACATGTTCGTATGAGAACTAACATCGGAAGACCTGAGTGGTGCCTAAGGTCATTAGAACTGGCCATCATGGCCATTACATTGTAATGGAATTGCTTAGTGTCATTTTTACTGGGACTCAACCACATCTCAACCACAAAGGGCTTTTCACAAGAACGCAGTCTTACCAAAGTGAATACAGTTCTTTGCGACAGTAGTTCTTTTGTTTGGGGCTCATGAGGTTCACACTGCAATCCAACCAGGTCATAGGTTATTAATGAAGAAGATTTTTCTTTAAAAAATTTTTAATTTGATTATAACTTATGTCTTCATAAAAATTTTAGCTTGAGAAATAAGAATAATTCAGTAGAATCTAACAATAAATAAATTGGTTCTTCTGTTCTCAGGAAAGAAAAATTATTTACCACCATCCTATCTTATTTACGGATTTGGATTTCTGTTTAAGGTAAAGTATGACCTCCTGCAGTAGATGTAAACAACAAGGTTTGTTAGTTGTTTGTTTGTTAAGGTGCCATGCAAGGTTTATTAGTTAATTGTTTGTTAAGGTGCCACACTGTTTTTTTATTATAAAAAATTAGCATAAAATTAAAAAATGTATTTATGGAAGTTAATGAAACCAATCGATCTATCAATATATTTCCTACTGCTCATAGTTGTATTCAAATATTTAAAATAATTATAAAAATAACTTTGGTTTCCTGTTTAGCCCATTAAATTGTTTTCTTCATTGACTTAGCTTGAGGAAGGCAGTGTAGAGAGACACAAAGGTGAACGAAAGTTAAGAACAGCGGCTGAAGATGTGATGGAGCGCCAGGATGAAGACACCTTCCTCGTGATATCCGACAGCAGTGATGATGAAAATAAGGATTCCAGGGAGAAGAAGACCGTTGCAGAGTTGCCCGCATCCAGCGAGGCCAAGACTTCTGAAGCTCACCCGGCGCCGGAGGACGAGACTTCTCAAAAGTTGAAACGGTTGGGCTCGCAGGGCGATTCTCAAGCATTGAATGCGCTGGGCTCACAAGGGGATTCTCAAGCCGTGAATGTGCTGGTTTCACTGGAGGAAGTGGAGTATCCTGACACCAACATTCAGCTGGAACACATCAAAGGAGATAAGTATGTTGTCTTTGGTTGAGTTTTTTACATTTTTTATATTATCATATTTGACCTTTATCTTTAAATGCAAGAGAGTAAATTAGCTTTGATATGCTCATGCACATACTTTGCCATCATCTTACTCTGGACTTTCTTCTAGGGCACCGACAACTAGCGACAGTGAGGAATGAAAACAAACAAAAAATTCAGATTTTTGGCACCATATCCCCGTATGGAATCAATCACACACTAGCCTACTAGCGATCCTTAATTTCCCTCCTTTTCCTAATCGGTATTTTTGCTGTTTGAAATTTTAAGGTAACAGTACGCACCATAGAATAATGTGGGAAGCACGTTTTGGTTTTGAGCAACTAATATTTTGAGCATTTCTAACAATAACATAGAGGGCTTCCTGCTATGAACATGGAGCCACATTTACTTTGAGATCTTAACACAAAAGAATTATTTAAATTGATGTGCTGTTCAATTTAATTGTACTGTCCGCTGAGGAAGGCGTCCAGCCGGAACATCCTCTTAATTGTACTGTTTTCAAGCCTTAACATATCTTGTTCCACTGCTTGTTTACTTTACAAAGCTTGACAGCAATCCCTCATATAGTACAATAAACAGATGTTGTCCCACTATTTGCTTACTTTACATGGCTAGAATGCAGTACCTCATATGCTTACTTTACATGGCTAGGACGCAGCGCCTCACATGTTATTCATTATTTAAACGTGTTGCTCACTGCAGCTGCCTAAATAGTTTGTCCGCAGATTAGTTCTTATGTAAAATCATCGTGTTGTTTATAATGTCTGTCTTCTGTTTTTTCCCATAGATATGAGTTGCACAAAGAAACAAAAGCCTCAGCAGAGAAAGAGGACCTCTTCTACCTTGGGGATAATGTACCTGTTGTGCTGGGAGAGAAGGTTCGTGTGATGTCTGTTTAGAAAAAAGTGACAGACTTTATTTTTGTCTTGTAAATGTTCAATATTAAACAGCTGGACAGCTTTGATGCTCAACGGTGGGGTTGTCTGCCGTCTGGGAGTGTAACACTCACTATTTCCGGGTATCTGGGTCAGCGCCAGGCTCGGCCTTAATAACTTCCCCAACATGTTTTGGCGTTTTATCCTAGGCTGTTAAAGGAATGTACGTTGTCCTCGTACTTACATCAAAACACAGCAGAGGAATCTGATTAGAAATGTAGTGGAGAAGGGGTGCAGGGTGTATGGAAGGAGTGCAGGGTGTATGGAAGGGGTGCAGGGTGTGTGGAAGGGGTGTAGAGTGTATGGAAGGGGTGCAGAGTGTATGGAAGGGGTGCAGAGTGTATGGAAGGGGTGCAGAGTGTATGGAAGGGGTGCAGAGTGCATGGAAGGGGTGCAGAGTGTATGGGAGGGGTGCAGAGCGTATGGAAGGGGTGGAGAGTGTATGGAAGGGGAGCAGAGTGTATGGAAGGTTATGGAAGGAGTGCAGGGTGTATAGAAGGGGTGCAGGGTGTATGGAAGGGGTGCAGAGTGTATGAAAGGGGTGCTGAGTGTATGGAAGGGGTGCAGAGTGTATGGAAGGGGTGCAGAGTGTATGGAAGGGGTGCTGAGTGTATGGAAGGGGTGCAGAGTGTATGGAAGGGGTGCAGAGTGTATGGAAGGAGTGTACGATGGTATGGAAGGGTTGTAGGATGGCAAGGGTGTAGGATGTAATGAGTGTAGGGTGAAATGGAAGGGGTGTAGGATGGTATGGAAAGAAGATGGATCGGTTCAGTTCCTCGGGGGGGGTGGGGGGGGGTTCATCCACAGCAGTGGGTAACCAGTATACTGGTGAGTGTGGTTGGCTTATGAAGACTCGAGCAAGCCATTCAACTCTAAGGGACCTGGAAAAGGGTTAAAAGAAACATGCCTCATATGCAGAAGTATCCTTATATTTTGCTACAAGAAATATACAAATGGTAGAGAAAAGCCTGAAAAAGGAAAACACAAAAAAGCAAACATTAAGGCCAAGAAGCCTTTGACCACAAAGAAATACAGAGACAAACGCTGGACGCAGTCCTCCCAGTATTTTTCTTACGTTATGCTCACAGCTCTAATCCCCAAGATTGGGACATTTTCAACAACATAAAATATGCCTGTGAAGCGCCAGATTGATGAATCCACCTGGCTTTTTGGTCATTTTATTCCTTAAGTGTTCTTTTGATCTACTGGGTTTTTGGTCATTTTATTCCCCAAGTGTTCTTTTGATCTATTGGGTTTTTGGTCATTTTATTCCCCAAGTGTTCTTTTGATCTATTGGGTTTTTGGTCATTTTATTCCCCAAGTGTTCTTTTGATCTATTATGTTTCTGGTCATTTTATTCCCCAAGTTTTCTTTTGATCTACTGGCTTTTTGGTCATTTTATTCCCCAAGTTTTCTTTTGATCTACTGGCTTTTTGGTCATTTTATTCCCCACGTTTTCTTTTGATCTACTGGCTTTTTGGTCATTTTATTCCCCAAGTTTTCTTTTGATCTATTGGGTTTCTGGTCATTTTATTCCCCAAGTTTTCTTTTGATCTCCAGGTTTCAAGAAAAGTAAAAGTTTCAGCCAAACAACGAAGGTGAGAGCATTTAAGTTTTCTCTGAGCAAAAACAAATTAAAATTCTCTTTTATATCTTGTTGGTCTTCATTTTTAAAACTATAGTTTTGTGCTGTGAAATTTAGGGGGACTGACACCACATTTTAAATTTAGATCAGTGGTTTTCAAACTTTCTCCAATAAGCGCCCTCTTGGGCTCAAAAAGTTGCCCTAATGGTCCCATGTCGAACCCAATTATAAGAACCCTCAGGCTAAAGTTTGTATGACCCTCTGGAAGATAATAGAAATGTAAAATTTGTCACATATCACTTCTGTAATAATTTCATTTATTAGCTAATTAATCCCTTGTTTTAAGGCTGTCATCAGAATCGCCATTGGCTTTGTTCGTATTTGTATGCCATTGCTTTGCTGTGAAAACACCTTCCACCAAATAAATGATGAGAGTGGAACACAGAGCAATTTCATGGATCAGAATATGATGATGGATGCCATACTGTAGGCAACACTTTCTTGGCATAACCATTTTATAACAGGGTTAAATCATTTTTTGCTGATTAAGCCCTCCTTCAACAATTGCGGTATTCATAACAAATGGATTTTTCACCCAATCTCTTTGTTGTGTGTAGCAATGAGATCGACTCTTTTTTTTTTCAAAACCAAACAAAGCCCCTGGGCAATCCTACAGCCCACTTTGAGAACCACTGATTTATATGTTGGAATCCATTGAGCCAAATGACAAAATGGAATTTTTCTACCAGGGATATGAAAAGAGAGAGGAAACCAGAAGAGGGTGATAAGACAGAGGACAGTCGTTCAGCTGATAAAGTCAAAGATGAGACAAGTCCAGCTACTCTTGATGGTAAAGATAAAGAAAAACAACTGGTAGGTTCAAGTACCAAGATCTTCAGATGATCAACTTTTGTGTCTGGGTGGGTTGTGTGGATACATGATTGATGTGTTCATAAGTATGATCTTGCAATGAGGCATGCTATTACAGTAATATAGTTTCTTCATGCATGACAAGGTCCTAAATTTGAAGCATGCACATATTCTTGAAACATTTGTACAAAATTGAACAACTTTGAAGCACAACAGCACAATATTTTGTTTATTTATTAATATTTATACATTTTTTTGTCTTATTTATCAGTTTTGACTTTGTTTTAAATTTTTAAAAAAATTTTCATTGTCACCTCAGAAAACTTTTATGTACTTGTAAATGAAAAAAAATTAATGTCACACAGTCAAAACAATTATAAAAAATATATTTAGAAAATCAACAAATTGTTCAATTCTTTAAATCACTGAAATCAGCTGACTAATGATGAGGATAAGCCAAGTGTTGTGGTACAGCCACTGAAAAGAGGTCAGAGGTCAAAACAAAAGAAAATCAAGGATAAATATGCTGATCAGGATGAAGAAGAGAGAAGACTTAGAATGGAAATATTAGCTGTAAGTATATTTCTCGTAAGGTTGTATATATGTTAATTCTTAGGGTGCATTTTCTTGCTTTTAAAAAGTTTTTTTGAGCTTTTTCGTTTGAACATTGGAGAAATTTTTTTTTACAATACTGGAAAACTGCAACTTAGCTTGATGTCGTGGCTGACTGCCTGCGAGATGTTGGTGGAGAAACCGCCTAGTTCATCATATCTGTAGGCATGAATCTGACCAACAACACGTATTCATTCCAAGGACGGTATAGATAGAACATCCTGTGCAGAACTAATTGTATTTTTTTTTTTAAACCCTCTGTTAGTTTCAATGAGTGTAGCCAAATGTATAGAGTGCACAGACATGGATGAAGGATTTTCATTTGCATCGTTTGTAATATCATTCGCTTTTGCTGTGTTCAAACTGAATATTTTTGGCACGTCTCCTCTGTTTTCAGTCTGCTGGCACAACAAAAGCTGATCAGTCTAAAAAGGGTAAAAAGGCCAAGAATAAATCTACCGCTAATTCTAAATCAGAGACACAAGTCAAAACTGGTTCCAAAGCTGAGGCGCTAGCAAAAGCAAACCCTGCAAAGATGGACTCTGTGAGTGAGAATGTTCAGCACCTTGGTAAGTGTCCTCTTTGTATGCAGGCTGATAGTTATTTAAATCAGTTTCAAATACCGATTGAAGATTTTACTTTCAGACGAAATTTTAGGAGCAATTGCATCACTCTGCATTTAATACTTTACATGCTTATTATTAATATTAATGATCCTTGATACATTATGCTCTCTGTTCTTTATTTCAGTAGAGAGTCAGCAGGAGGAAACTAGTTCATCTGATAATATTGTGATACCTGAACCACAACAGGTACAGTATTCTCAAATTAGATAACATAATTTAACTGCATGCAAAGCTATTAATTAATCATAAAATTCAATATCAAGTTGTCAAAATCATGTAAATCAATTTACATGTATAATGTATTTTTTTTCTGGGGATTATAACATGCTTTTATTTAATAAAAATTAAACAATTTATTGATAATTTAGTTTTTTTTAAATCAAAAACAGGTGTTAAACTGACATTGCTGCTGATACAACCTTACAATTTTTATTTTGATAAATCCTTTTTTTTTAAAACATTTGATTTAGGCTACAATAAAATTTAAACCAAACATTGATTTTGGTGCAGAATACCATGACATCCAAAAGTCATATTGACTTTTATTACATAGGTTTCATTGATTTCTAAATCTAATTTTTGTCCGTTTATTTATATGGCATTTAAATGTTTACTGCGTAGCTCTGATTTTTTTAAAGTTGAAAGCATGAGTTTTATACATTTTCAATGGTACCTCAGCGCTGTATAAAATATTAGTTTAACTGATCACAATTACAGTATGAATGCACAATTGAAGTAACTATAGTTTGTAAAAATAAAAAAAACATTGATTGCAAGTGAATTTCATCATTTTAAGAATTAACTTTTTTTTTTTTAAATTCCTCTAGCATGGAGATTCTGATGATGAGAAGGAAGAAGAGTTATCTGCACAGGTGAGCTCTCATAGAATGGTCTTTTAAAATTAGCATAAATCTTCTAAACACACCTTTATATATCTTTTAAGCCAGTGCTGTTTAAGGCTTATTTCTTTGCCTTTAAAAAAAAAATAGAAAAAAAAAAGCTTGATTGAAACAAAAAAAATGTTAATTGAAAACTTTAGTGAAAGGGGAAAATAATTTCTAAGTCACATGGTTCGGTAGTACTGGGTACTAATAAGTTTTTTGTATTATATTTTAGGATGAGTCCATTATTGATTCTTTGACTGGCATACCCCATGTTGAAGATGAGCTTCTTTATGCCATCCCAGTGTGTGCACCATACAATGCCCTTATCAACTACAAGTAAGTTTATTGACATGTCCTTTTCCTAAATTTTTTTTTCTTCTTTTTTTGTTTTGTTTTTTTTTTTCAAAAAGATGTCAGCTCAATTGGCAAGTAGGTGTAACATTTGCTTTTACAAAATAGAAATAAATTCCTTCGAAATGTAATTTATGTTACAAACATTTACTTTGTTAACAAATTGAACTAAAGCATAAAATAAGACCAGTTAACAAATTGAGTCGTTGTTTGAAAGTCTTGAAATTTTGTGTAAGTTTCAGAAATTCTGTGAATTATTTCCTGCATTTATTCATAGACCCTAGCCAGTGAATCACAATCACAATAACGATTTCAAAATATGTAAATGTAATATATCAGATGATCCACATAGACCACAAAAACGCATAGACCACAAAACAGCATCACATAGACCACAACACAAAAATACATGGACCTCAACACAAAAATACATAGACCATAAAACATCAACACATAGACCACAACACTGCTGTACAAAAGTTTGAATCTAATCTACTTGTTTTCTTTTATTTCAAACTTGCCAGATTCAAAGTAAAGCTTTTGCCTGGCTCAACTAAAAAAGGGAAAGGTTTGTGCTTTGAAATATTTGTAGCATATTGTATACCATTATTGTATTCTATGTAGAGACCGACTGAAAGGGATTTTCTGATTTCGGCCGAAGCCGAAATTCGGTCGGTCTCTGATTCTATGTTAAAAAAAAATTAAAGTTATTAAGTCATGGGGACAGGAGAGTTTTAAAAAGATCATTGGTGCAGTTGTATAATGTAAGCTACAGCCACATTTTGATGATTTTACTTTTGAGAGGCTCCTTTTGAGAAAGCTAGTGATACCTATTTCCCAATGTATTGTCAAGAACTGAGATTAGACGATGACTTTGATTAAACAACCCCTAAAACCAAAGCCTTCATAAAAAGCCTTTATAATATTGAGCAATGGGGGGTGGGGGCTGAGAATGTGACAAAAACATGCATTTATGTAATGCACTTTATAAGAATTCCAATGAGTGTCGCTTTCTCTCCCGCCCCCGGGCTTGAAACCACACATTTTTTTCACGCCCCTAAACTATATTAATATTCTATTGACCCACCCGCTTTTACATCGCAGATTTATTTCACCAATTATTTCAGAAAAACAAAAGAAAAAATTATGCACCAAACGCACTTGAGATATCTTTTTTAAAAAAAGAATCTTATTAGTGCAGTTATCAGGAATTTTATTTCTTGAAATCAGTGTCATCATATTTTATTCATCTTACCTTGAAAAACAGGAAAACTGATTTTTGGGGGGTTCGGATTGGGGGGTAGGTCTGAAAATTTGGTAGAGTGTGTTGCCATCAGCAACGAGTCTATGTGCCAAGATTGCTCGATAGATTGACGGGTTGTGGGTCAATTAGCCATTTGAAGATTTTGCCAGCCATGAGCAAAAGCGATGTTAATATAAAGGATTTGAACCTATTTATACCTTACTGTTTGCAGCTGTCAAGAGTGCACTGAATATGTTTGCTCAAGACAAAGCCATCACAAGCAGGGAGAAAACACTTCTTAAAGTTTTGAAGGTAAAGTAAATTTATTTAAGAGTTCCACTGAGCAAGTCTCTAAGCAAGATACATATCGCCATGATGATCCAATAACTGTAAGACACCTGTAAGATGCACTTTGCACACAATCAAAGTGTCTCAACTTTTATGCTTCAACTCGTTCACTGGCCCTAACTTTCCTGTCTATCTCTCTGAACTGTTGCTTCCTTACATCCCCACAAGACAACTACGCTCTTCAATTGACAATAGAACCCTCTCAATCCCAATAACCAAAACTAAAACCATCGGTGAACGCTCCTTCTACTTCCATGCGCCCACGTTCTGGAACCAGCTCCCCTTCCACATACATTTGTCATTGTGAAACATTGTCCACTTTCAAAGAGTCCCTTAAAACCCATCTGTTTAGGTCCGCCAATGACCTGTGATGCACCCTCTTCGTCCTGCCTCATTTTTTATCTCTGGTTGATCCAGTAGTGTAGGCCAAAACGTGCCAAAGTGTACTCGTTTTTATAGCCATTTTAATGCTTAAGCTACTGTTTCTATAGTCATTTTTAACATAGTTATTACTATTCTAGTGTCTCTGGTTTTTTATTTTTATTTTACTTTAGCAGTTTAAATAGGTTACATGTTTTTAATAATTGTAAAGTGCTTAGAGCTGTAAGGTAAGCGCTATACAAAAATGCCTAAATAAATCAATAATCCAATGCATACAGCTGTAACACTGATAACGCAAAAATGTTGAATGAAAATGTTATATGTCTAAGAGGTTAGTATTTGAAAGGTCTATTGCATTTAAGAAACATTGTGTTGTTTTTTTTTCCTCTCTTTAGGATGTTGATGTTGCCAGGAATCTTCCAGGGAAGGTCAAAGTGGCAGCTCCAAACTTACACAAGATAAAAAAATGAATGAACGCCTCTTGATTTAGACTTTTAAAATTATTGTTATACAGAGTTCTTTGGAGACAACTCAGAAATGAAAAGATTAATTACTGTTTACAAAACCGATGTTACATTTTTATTTGTTAAACCATTGTGAGAGAAATGTATAAAAAAGTTCAATACCGGGTACAATGGAAATTGTTTCCCTAAATAAACTGTTGGAAAAGTAATGCACTCTTGTGTTTATTTCTTTTGTACTCTCTACCCCATCCAGGCTGTCATAAAACAAGTACACTCACTATTGTTTTCAGTTGTCCTCTCTTAAGTTGTCATTGACTTTCTTAGCCACTACACAAACACACAATATGCAGACAAAGAACAACTGAGACAAAGCATGACATAATGGCTCTTGGTTTAAAATGATTAAAGTCTTCTGTCTGTTTGACTTTTCTGAGTTACCCACCTATGAAGATATGTCATTTGATGGTGTTTTGATTTTCTCTTTAAAAAAAATTTTTAAAGATTCACCATGGATTTAAATGATGTTATGAGAAACTAGGGGACTCGCCCAGTAATCTGTGTGCTGTGCAAAATTGAACAGCGTATCTGTAAATTTTATGTAGGCCTACATCTAAATTAAATGAAAGATGGTGATGATACCAGTTTCTAAACTGTTGGACAAATCTGGTGTCACTATTGAAATCTAGTTCTTAATACTTGCTGCAGTTACTGCACAAAACACTGGCGTATACACACCCTGAAACTAGAAGAAACCAACAGGTCTACATTTTTTGATAGCCCTGTCTGTAGCTGTCTTCATCCTTTTTCAAAAATTATCCTCTGGATCAGCAAAAATTTTTGATATACTACAAGTGCATAAATCTATGGAATGGATTCAGAAGTAATTGAAGAGAGTATGAAAGTGATCGGTTTTATGACTTCACAATGTTCATCACGTTTAGATCACTGTAGCCACACGTTAATGTGTCTAGTGATTTATATGAATTTGTCTAGTGATGTAAATGAATTTGTCTAGTAATTTATGTGAATGTGTCTTGTAATTTATATAAATGCGTCTAGTGATTTATAATACTTCAGAGACTGTCTAGGTTTTTCCCCCTCTATTTAAGCGCAGTAATATGTCGATATGATAAGTGATCGCAACAAATGAGACCACAGCCCTGTCTTTTTTTTAAACTAAAAATTTAAGACGTGCTAAAGCTGATGTTGGTACGTAAAATCAGTTATTAAAGGGAAGTCACTCTTTCCTTTCGTAAATATTTTCATATTAGTCTAGTAATCCCCCCATGGTCGAAACAAAAAAAAAAAAAGAAAAAAAAAAACACGCCTTTTTCATTTAATTTAAACTTATTATTATATGTTGGTACGTAAAATCAGTTATTAAAGGGAAGTCACTCTTTCCTTTCGTAAATATTTTCATATTAGTCTAGTAATCCCCCCATGGTCGAAACAAAAAAAAAAAAAGAAAAAAAAAACACGCCTTTTTCATTTAATTTAAACTTATTATTAGCGTTATCTTATTTAACGGGACAGACCAAGTAGGACCGTGCGAAAGGGACAACCTACACGGCCGCCATCTTCAGAGGACACCTCTTCTCTATTCTACCACCAGCACGATTTTTTGACAAAGTCTGGAAACCCTTACAAAATTAACTTGCTAAATTTCAAAAAAAAAAAAAAAATTAAAAAATCCAATTTTTTAAATTGATATGTGTCTCGTTACTATTACACTAAGTAAAAATTCAATGAAGAAATTTAAAAAGCATGTGTAACTACAGTCGTAAGCAAGGGCGTCACGTGACTTTTGGAGGCTCCCTGCCCCATTTTGGTTTCGTGCCCCCATCGTTCAAAGTTAATAGCTTTTTTTTTTTTTTTCCTTTTAACTTGGGCCCTTCAAATCTATTAGGACCACTGCAGCCGAAGGGATTGCAGGGCCCACGGGTCGGCTCTGGTGGTATGGTCTCTTTCCGATCTCTCCCTGCCCCTTTTTGGTTTCGTGCCCCCATCGTTCAAAGTTAATAGCTTTTTTTTTTTTTTCCTTTTAACTTGGGCCCTTCAAATCTATTAGGACCACTGCAGCCGAAGGGATTGCAGGGCCCACGGGTCGGCTCTGGTCGTATGGCATAGATTCTACACGGAGATGTGGGGGTGGGGATTAAATCTGTCTGAACTCCGCCGTTGTGCGCCTGTGTGCATGCGCTGAGCTGAGCCGTGGGAATGGTGTAGGTGACAGCCGCCCCAGGCGTCTAAGGCCGTGTTTCGCGCCAAAAAGCTATGTATCCATAGTATTATTATTAGATATTTAATGGATCATATCCTTATTGATAAAGCAGGGGGTGCCATTTTCATGCTTCACCCCTGGGGCGGCACCTTTAATTCGTGCTGGCTGGCAAGGCGGACTAAGCCGAGTCAAATCACAAGCTAGTGGACAGGAGTTCAATCCTCGGCAGAAGCCTGCACAAGCAAACAAAAAAACAACAACAAACAAACAAACAACAACGTCAGCATCCCGGGTGGATGGGACCCGTTAACCTCATCAAAGAGGAAGCAAACCCTGAAATCACACCCGGAGACGGAGTCATGTAGGCGGTATGACATTAAGACAATAAAAACTTATACAACTCGTGCGACGTAGATCGCATAAAGAGCAGAGTGAAACACACACCCGTCCACTTCTGGTTATCTACTGCATCCTGGCAGATTTGCAGTCGGATCCATTGGATCAAAGAGGCAAGGAATTGAGCAACTTTCCCCCACTTTAAATAAAATTCAGCTCATTTTTCAAGTCGAGGCTACTACTCAAGCCTCGGTCATCTCCGCAAGCGAAGGACGAACAACAACATGTGTGGCGCGTGCAAGATTGCCAGCGCCTGTTTTAACATTTTGAATCTAAGTGCATATACGTCACTCAAGATCAATCGTTATTTATATGGGGGGGGGGGGTGTAGGAAATCCGTGTTACAAATACAAACTCGGGTTTTATTACACCGACTTTAAATCCGCTCTCCTTTATGTCACGACTCCAGAGCCATAGACGGAATTATTTGGTTTCTATGTCACGACTCCAGAGCCATAGACGGAATTATTTGGTTTCTATGTCACGACTCCAGAGCCATAGACGGAATTATTTGGTTTCTATGTCACGACTCTTAGAGCCATAGACGGAATTATTTGGTTTCTATGTCACGACTCCAGAGCCATAGACGGAATTATTTGGTTTCTATGTCACGACTCTTAAAGCCATAGACGGAATTATTTGGTTTCTATGTCACGACTCTTAGAGCCATAGACGGAATTATTTGGTTTCTATGTCACGACTCTTAGAGCCATAGACGGAATTATTTGGTTTCTATGTCACGACTCCAGAGCCATAGACGGAATTATTTGGTTTCTATGTAATGACTCTTAGAGCCATAGACGGAATTATTTGGTTTCTATGTCACGACTCTTAGAGCCATAGACGGAATTATTTGGTTTCTATGTCACGACTCTTAGAGCCATAGACGGAATTATTTGGTTTCTATGTCACGACTCTTAGAGCCATAGACGAAATTATTTTGTTTCTATAGAAAGTTAAACAAATGCTGAACAACTTCTTCCAATTCTTCCAGAATGGTTGCCAACTTCAACAAATAAAATTTACGAACAAATATTCATAATATTCGTAATAGTCACATTTTTTAAGGACCAACCCGTTTTAAAAAAAAAAAAATTTTTTACGTTCACATTTTTAAGAATAAACTTATAAGCTAAACACAACATTCAAATACATCCGAACAACTATGTTTCGATGACTTATCTGTAAGTCTCTATGTGATATGATCATGAGGTTTCAGCCTATTTCATGTTATTTTATGTACTGTATACACTCACATCGGTGTTGCGTATCCCCTAAATATTATCATAAAAGCTTAAAGCAAGTAAGACGAAATCTAAAATTTAACGGAACCCTAAAGTTTTTACGGAATTTTACGGACATGTCATTTTAGGTCAGAATTTTACGGACCGTCCGTACGGCGGTTTGAAATCCCGTTCACCAGATCAACGGTTACAGTTGGTAAAAGAAACTTTTTCTGAACAATTAAAATAAGCCCACTGTACTCTTTTTACCCTCCGTACATCATTTTGATAATTATAATTACTTTGTAATTAAACATAAAAAAACACGTTAATGACGTAGACATTATTTTAATAATTAAGATTATTGGTACGGGTAAAAACTTGTTGGTCATCGTTTACCTTCCGTACTTTTATTTAGGCCACTGAGGTCAGTGTGGTCAAGTAACACCGCGGTGACTGACCCCAAAACTCAGTCAGGTTAACCTTTTCACCCCGGTCACAGTGGGGGAAGAGGGCACGCAGGGCCATCGCAGTACAAAACTGGCAGTACCTCTGCAGAACGCTTGGAGAGTACGGTCATGATGCTGAGCGTTAATTAGACGTGTGCGCGTGATCAACTGGTGCGGATGGTCATTCTATGAACTATTCAATGGTAAAAGCAATCCACGTCTCATTTAGTGGAACGAAACATACTGTGTATATTATATAATTAAGACATTACTTTTGTTCACTAAATAAATCATTAGCATTTCCAAAGTTTTATCACCAATACCGACAAGTATCGTTTCGGCGATTTAAAAAATAAAAAAAAAATAGAAGAATTATTATTTTTTTTGTTTCAAGTACCGTACTCAAGTGGCGGTCATAAATGACCCCCCCCCCCCCCCCCCCCCACCCCCCCAAA